ATGCCCTTTTTACCAAAGAACCATCCAAGGTGTATGCACAGCTACAGGGTAACCACCACATCTCCTCGCAAGACCCACCGAGAGCTGAGACTAAACAGTACTGGAAGAATATCTGGGAGAAAGAAGCATCTCATAACACCGAGGCCCAGTGGCTACTAGACCTGAAAGCAGACCCGTGCATACTGCCAGAACAGGAACCAGTCACCATCACAGTTGAAGATATCCAACAGAGAGCAGCACACATGAAGAGTTGGTCAGCCCCAAGACCTGACGTGATCCACAACTACTGGATAAAGAAGTTAACAACACTGCATGAATGCAGTGTTGCCTAGCAACACTGCATGAATGCCTAGCAGAACAAATGAAGCAGCTACTAACAACAGGTTTCCACCCTGACTGGCTAACACAAGGCAAAACAATACCGATCACGAAGGACCCTCACAAGGGAACAACACCATCCAACTACCAACCAATAAACTGGAACCCACAACATGGAAACTCTTGTCAGACATCGTAGCCTCCAAGATCCAAGGGCATATGAGTCAATATATGAGCAATACTCAGAAGGGGATTTGAAACAACACCAGAGGATCAAAACACCAACTACTGGTAGACCAAGCAGTCACAAGGGATTCTAAGACCAGACAGACCAATCTGTGCATGGCCTGGCTTGACTACAAGAAAGCCTATGACACAATGCCACATACATGGATACTGGAATTCTTGACTCTCTACAAGGTCAGCAAGACTATAAGAGCCTTCATCAAGAACTCGATGGGCAAGTGGAAAACAACTCCAGAAGCCAATTCCAGGACAATGACTCAAGTGAACATCAAATGTGGCATATACCAAAGTGATGTGCTATTCCCAATGCTGTTCTTCATAGGCCTAAACCTCCTTAGCCAGATCATCAAGAAGAGTGGATACTGATACAGGTTCAAGAGTGGAGCTACCATCAGCCACTTACTCTACATGAATGACATCAAGCTATATGCCAAGAATGAGCGGGACATTGACTCACATATCCACCTAACTAGGATATACAGCAAGAACATCGGAATATTGTTCAGACTAGAGAACTGCGGGTGGATGATAGCAAAAAGAGGGAAGATAATCAGGACAGAAGGAGTTGAAGTTCCAGAAAGCCAAATAGAAGATGTAGAGAACAGTTACAAGTACCTGGGGGTAACACAAACGCATGGCAACCATGAAGAAGAGGCAAGGAGGATAGCAACATCCAAATACCTCCAAAGAGTTAGACAGGTCCTGAAGTCCCAGCTCAATGGCAAGAACAAGATCCAAGCCATCAACACAGAACCCTAAAACTCCCAGGCATCTGGTAGAGTTACCCAGCTGGAATAATAACCTGGCCAAGAGTGGAACTGGTCACCATGTATGTCAAGACCAGAAAACTACTCACTATGAATGAATGATTCCACTTGAAATCCAGCACCCAGAGATTGTACTCCTGCCGGAAAGAAGGAGGTCGCGGCCTGATGAGTGTCAACGTAACTGTCCTGGATGAAACACAGAGCATCCACAAGTACATCACGAAGATGGGTCACAAAGATGAACTGCTAAGGAAATGCCTAAGACTTCAACAGATAGAGGATGCAGAAAAAGAGGAGGTTCCTTGGCAAGACAAACCTCTCCATGGGGTGTACCATGGGCAGATAGTGGATGTGGCTCACATGACAAAATCCTACCAGTGGTTGGAAAAGGCAGGACTGAAAGACAGCACTGAGGCACTAATCCTAGCAGCACAGGAACAGGCACTCAGCACCATATCATTAGAAGCTGGAGTCTACCACACCAGGCAAGACCCAAGGTGCAACCTGTGCAAAGAGGCCTCTGAGACAGTCCAGCACCTTGTAGTCGGATGCAAGATGTTAGCAGGAACAGCATACACAGAGAGACACAATCAAGTTGCTAGGATTGTGTACCGAAAAATCTGCACAGAATATGGATTGGACCTGCCAAGTCCAGATGGGAGATACCACAAAGGGTAGTCGAGAATGACAGGGCTAAGATCCTGTGGGACTTCAAGATCCAGACAGACAAGCAAGGGCTGGCCAACCAACCCGACATCGTAGTGGTAGACAAGGAACGGAAGACTGCAGTCGTGGTGGTTGTGGCAATACCCAGTGACTATAACATCTGGAAGAAGGAACATGAGAAGGTGGAGAAATACCAAGGACTGGATGAAGAACTAGAAAGGATGTGGGAAGTTAAGTCAGTAGTAGTCCCAGTTGTGATAGGAGCCCTCGAGACTGTAACTCCCAAGTTGGGGGAGTGGCTTCAACAGATTCCAGGTGGGACATCTGAGATCGCTGTCCAGAAGAGTGCAGTAATAGGAACAGCTAAGATTCTGCGCAGAACCCTAAAACTCCCAGGCATCTGGTAGAGGACCTGAGAATGAGGAATAAACCTACCACCCAGGAGGGGTGAGAAAATCAATTTATATATTATTCTTTATTTTCATTTTTACAATAAACAATATTTAAGTGTCAGAGATACAATTATGAAGGGTAATTCCAACAACTCCCAAATGAAACCCTGACCTTTAAAATTTATTGATTGCATTTTCTATAGGTTACATTCAGTACTGCAGCTGAACAGCAACCATTTTCAGCTGCAACAAATGAGGTGTTAGAATTAGAGCCCATACCCTTACTCCGAAAGCCAATTGTCTCACTAACTGATAGTTGCTGCTGTCAAAGTCCATTTAGCTGCTTGTAATTGGCTTCCTTTCAATGATGGTTTAGTAAGTGCTATGTAGTAACTTGTATAACTATTATTAGCATAAATGCAATAACAATGTGGTAGTTTTTATTGAGAATTCTACCACTCATTACCCAGCAATCGTATCAGGTATATAAATGTTATGGCACAAATGGAAAAGTAATGTCTGGTAAGGAAGAAAAATAATGTTTTATTATCTAAATGTGTGTTACATTTAGATAATAAAACATTATTTTTCTTCCAATTACCCCACTGCTAACTTGATAAATATTGCCTGTATAATATTAGTTTTTTTAGGCAGTTACTATGGGTCAGTCAGTGAAAAATAACGATAGAGAATAATAACAAAGACAGAATGCAATAAAACCATAAAAGTGTGTTATATTTCTTTATTTGATTTATGACATCAAACATAGTAGAAAAGTAAACACACTATCTTCAACGGGAATTATGACATTATCATGGCACAAGGAGGATTGCATGTGGTTAATAAACCATGAACACTAGGTCAACATCTGATAAAAACTGGATATATCTCCTTTCATTTAATATAGACTTGTTAAATTAATCTCGCCAATCAGCATCTCCTATAAATCCGAGGATCTGTGATAGAAAAGTACATGCTATAGATGAAAAATAGATTCTCTGCCATCTTGCAATTGCTTTATAAATCTTGTAGTAGTAAATATTGGATGTATATATTTTGTGCCTTTAGAAGGGTTAAGACATCTTCTGCTATATCCTGTTGTAGTAAGAGCTGCTGCTTAAGGGCCAATCCATGAGTCTGAGTAGTGAGGATAAAGGTGACCTACTGAGCCTTACGTTAGAAGAGCATGTTTTTACTTGAGTTGCCAGGGCTGGTCTATTGCTAATCTCCTGCTGAAGAGGGAACCGGGGGCGGAGTGACCATTGTGGGATGCAGAGGCGTAACTAGAAACCACTGGGCCCCAGTGTGAAAATTGCCCTGGGACCCCCCTCACGTGTCTCATTCAATATCCTCTCAAGCCCCTTCATGTACGTCAGCCTCCCACCCTCAGTCTCTCCATGTGTCTCATTCCCTTACCCCCAGTGCCTCCATGTGTCTTATTCCCTCCCCCCAGCCCCTTCATGTGTCTTATTTCCCCCCAGAGACCCTCCATGTGTCTTGTGGGGTATTTATGGGATGATAATATTAAACAGTCGAGAATCGCCCACTATTTCAATTCTCTTAGATCTTAGAGATCGTTATCATGTAAGTGAAATGTATTCCATACAAATAAAATCACAATTTGTTATAAAAATAGATTTAATTTATTGTGACAAATAAAATAACAATAATATTAGGCAGCATGCATGATAATAATCAGTGAATATTTAGTATAACATAAGTATGCAATACAATGGAATGGCTATACACGTTCCAATGGCTAACAGCATCACCTGTCACTTAATAAGATTTATGAGGGTACTTCACAGACAGAAAGTAAAGCTTCACACAGCGAAAAGTCATAAAACCTTGGCTAACAGTTAAATCAACTGAGTAATCCTTTCAATGCTGGCTAGATCCTCCTAGCCATATAATATCCTATTCTCATGTAATTTTCAATTAAAATAACATTCGAACCAACTCATTAATCATTTCCTGGAACCATCCAATAAGAATAATCTACCAGATTCTATAAGCCGAATTTTTAATTTGCCTAAAAAGATATCTTATCTTATATTAGAGCAAATCAATACATCTGGATAAAAACAACGTTATGCTAACACGTGATACTATCACATTAATATATAATTATTCTTAATTCCACCTGCAGAATGGAATGTTTATAACTATATATTCTTTAGTTAAATAAGATTTCTAAATATTGAAATCTGACCGTGATTTATCCAGTCATATATCATGCTATTAGTAAATTTTTTATTAATTTAAATTAATTAAATAAAACCAGCATAATTACCAGTTATGTAGGTATTCTCATCAGATGAGTAGGTAGTCCCAGGAACTTGCGAGTATGATTGGTTGTATGGAGGTGCGTGAGTAATAGAGAAAAGTGATGTTGGTTAGAAAGTATCAGTAAATGTTAAGTGTCAAGGAGTTTAAGAGTTGAGTGTTAGTCCCAGAGAGTGTCCTGAATCTCTCTCTCTGCATGTCCGAATCTGAATGCCCAAAACTCTACCAACTAACTTCTCTCTTCCCTTTGTCCTAACTTTTAAAGGGCCAGACTCTCTGTACGTCATTAGTTGATAAGGCCAATAGGAAACTGAAGGTGGGTTCAATCTATGGATCGCAATTTAGGTATTTGGTCCATACAGGGCAGTCTCGCCTTACTAAACCTTCCTATCCAGGAAAGAGTTAACTTTTCCTGATGACGATTTTGAACTCATTTGGCTTATCTAAAATGACTACCATAACTTAAATTTGCTGTCAGTTCAAAGCGTTTGTCTCAGTCTATGTGGCAACTACTTTGATCGTAAATTCTAAAATTGACAGTTCTAAACTCAATTTCACCCCTTACTTACAATGAGACCTTGCAAAATTTAGAAAGTAAAATTAATTAGTCTTCTCTGTCACTAGTGTCTGTGTTTAAAATTATTTCTATTCTATTAACATTTAAACAGAGAATTCCATCCCCCTGCTTCATTGCTTATCACTTGGCTTGTTTATATAATGCATTCCTTAGCTCAGGCTCAGTGGTTAGTGAAAGCAAGGAAATTATGTGTCTTTGTTATCCTAAAGATAGCAAAATGAAGTCTGCTCTGTTCTGAGTGACTCTGGCAATATACACTTTTAATTTCTATTTTAGCACAAAATGTCTGCCGATATAAATATCCTGACATAACCCCCCTAAATGATTTTCATAGCAATGATTAATTTAGTCTATGAATAAGCACTGTAGAAGTTACAAGACATATTGTGCACTTACATCATTTCTACTGACATAGGCCCGTGCGTGGAATGAACATTTTTGTATATTTTTGTACCTGTAAGTGCTTTGAACTTTACACTTAGTACAATCAACCATAATATCATTATCATTGTAAATTGTTTTCATTTGAAAAATGTTTTTGGGAGTTACATATGGTATGGCCAATAAAAAGCAAATCTCCATACGTTCCGGATCAATTAAGAGAGGTATAGCACTCCCCATCTCAAAGGCCAAATTTAATTGCATAGGCTCAATTTTTTCTCTATCCACATTGGCAAGCATCGCATGAACAATATCCTTGGATACAAAATACAGAGGTATGCGTCCCCCTGACAATTCAATCATTCCAGTTTGCACTTCAGCAAGAAAAGCAAGTGTGTGGAACAATACTGGGTCATGCAGAAATAGAAGTTCACGCTTAAATAAGTCATGACTTTGGTGCAACTCAGTGGATTTGGCAATTAACTCCGAATGCAAATTTGTTGTAACAACTGTGTCTTGCACAATAGTTAACATGTCTTGGATTAGTGTTCTTTGCTGGTTTATCACCTGATGAATATCGTTAATGTGTTGCTTTAGCGCATAGTTTTCCATATCCAGCTTTTGGACAGTAATAGAGTTGGCTGCAGACATTCCAGTTGCGACAACTGCACCGACAGTGGCACAAACTAATGCAACAATTATGGCGGTGAGGAACCTTTTGGGTCGGTTGCTCATCGAAATAGTACTGGATACAAATGGTTTCCGGGCTTGTTCAAAGATGTTTCGCACACGGTCCTGTGCTCTTTGGAGGTGCATCTGGTACCAAGTCTGTAACTCAGGAAGCTGCATCGATGAAATGTTGTATGCCTTCTCGATGGAAATCTTGGGGTCCAAGCTGACGAACACACGTCGGGTCAGGATCCTCTTCTCTGTCAAGATGAACCCTGGTGTCTCTTGAATCAGGATGCCGGAGGATGGTCCCATCTCTGCGATCGGGTCGGTCAGTAGCTCTTGGCACAGGAGCAGTACGATCCAGAAACATGCCACATCCTTCTTTGACATCTCTCGACAGTCACGGATCAGGAACTCGTTTCAGACTTATCTACTAATGATTCAAGGTTTGTTAAGCATACAAACTTATAACAGTGTGACATCACTTGGCCTAGGACAATGCATTATTACGATTCATCAACATATGTATTCTGTTTATTTCTATTTTTATAACTTCATCCATCACTACATTTATTACTGACTCTTCAGTAATTCGCCTATAGCAGCTAAACAAACTAATAACCTGCTTAGAAAATGTAGTTATTGGATGGCAAGGAAATGATTAATGACATGAACGTACATGAGATCATGGCACATCACAACATTTCACATCATACGATATCACGTGAATCAAGCATTCATCCAGGTTAGTCGTTCACCCTTCTGCGTCCAAATCCACACCTATAATCCTTAATTGAGATTTAGGATGACAAGCAAGTTAATGGTTAATGTGAACCCACTTTTCAATAAAATCACCATCCTTAGGAATTTTTATCTTATACGCTACAGGGGAAATTTTGTCAATGATGACATATGGCCCTTTCCAAGAAGGTAAAAAATGTATTTTCCTTGACTTGATTTTGCGCAAAGTTAAACAGATAGACTTGATCTGTGATCTCATATTCCTTTTTCGTGGTTTTTAAATCGTAATAGGTCTTAACCCCTGTCGCTGCTTTTTCTAGATTCTTTTGGGCAAAAGCAAACGCATGCTGTAAATGCTTGCGCAAATCTTCGATATACTGATGCTTAGTGGCAGCATTGATCAAGTTATGATCCGAAGTACGATATAGTAAATGCTGTGGTAAAACCATCTTACTTCCTGTCATCAATTCAAAAGGTGACAATTTGGTAGCAGTGCTAGGTGTAGCTCTTATCGCCATTAAAACTAAGGGCAATTTAATGTCCCAGTCTTTACCAGACTCCTTAACATACTTCTTCAGAATATTAACGATAGATTGGTTATATCGCTCTACCCCCCCCCCCCCGCTAGATGCGGCGCGGTATGCAATATGTAGCTTTCGTTTAACACCTAGAATTTTCCACATCGTAGCCATTACTTCGCTGGTAAAATGACTACCTCTGTCTGACTCAATTCTTTGAGGCAGACCGAACCTGGAAAAGAAATGGTTAATCAACAAAGTGGTGCACACGGTACTCGTGTTCTCTTTACAAGGCAAACATTCTATCCACTTTGTGTACATACATGTAACGGTTAACATGTATTTGTTACCTCTTGAAGATCTTGTTACAGGACCTATAAAGTCATTTTAAATATCAGACTAGGGTAATGACACCCCCCTCTTCTGAAGTGGTGCACGATGGGTTGGACCATGGGGTTGATGTTGCGGACAAATCAAGCATCCCTGACAGTATGTCTTAACATTTCTTAACATGTGTGGCCAATATGCATAATCACGCAATATCTCACATGTGATCTTATCACCACGATGCCCAGATGTAGGTGCATCATGTGTGTGTTGGAGCATTAACCCTCTGTATACAGTTGGGACCAGGGCCGGACTGGGGATACAAAGCAGCCCTGGAAAAAAAAAATCTATGCCAGCCCCATAAGCCATTGCGCCATATATTGTCGCATGTAATATGTAAGGCTATGTCTTGCCTCCCCAGATGATTGAGTTACATATATATATCAGGGCTTGACAAATCCCAGGTGCCCGGTCGCCATGGCGACTCAATATTTTGTCCTGGCACCTGGGATTGGTCAGCCCGTTCCCTCCTCCTCCTGTGTCGATCCCAGTGCAGCGCTGTGTGCGCCAGGAGGTAGTGAATAACTGTGTCATGGTGGGTGTGTGGGTCTGTCATGGTGTGTGTCTGTCTGTGTCATGGTGTGTCTGTCATGGTATATGTGGGTGTCAAGGTGTGTGCATGTCTGTCATGGTGTGTGTGTGTATGTCTGTCATGGTATATGTATGTGTCATGGGGTGTCTGTGTGTGTTTTTAAAAATAGTGTTTTACTCACCTTTTTTTTTTTCTCCCAACGTCGTGCTGGTCTCCCCTCGACTGGCCCTGCCTCTATGACTGAGATCATCAAGCTTGATGATCTCAGCCAATCCGCACTGACACGGTAAGCGCCTCTAGTGACCGTCTGAGTGTCTGTCACTAGAGGTGTCACTAGGAAGCAATGTAAACACTGCCTTTTCTCTGTGTTTACATTCAAAAGCCTGCAGGGACAGGCTATAGACACCAGAACCACTACATTAAGCTGTGTGTGTGTGTGCATGCTAGTGAGTGAGCTTGTGTTTTTATGTCAATGAGCTTATGTATATCAGTGAGATTGTTTGTCTATGAGGCTGTGTATCAATGAGCTTCTGTGTGTCAGTGAGATTGTCTGTGTCTGCATGTGAGTATGCTTACTGTATAATTAAATGTTTTAGTCTGAAAGGACCAATATTTTATATTAGAAAAAGCAAAATATAATATATCTATCTATCTATCTATCAGGGCTTGACAAATTTGCTTTCAATCTAGGAGCCAGCTAAAAAAGTTAGGAGCCAGCTTTTCTCCCCCCTTCCCCCCCGCCCCATCCTCACAACAAAAATACAATTCTTAAAGGAACACTATAGTCACCAGAACCACTACAGCTTAATGTAATGGCTCTGGTGTATATAGCCTGTCCCTGTAGAATTTTCAATGTAAAGGCTGCTTTTTCAGAGTTAAGGCAGTTTTACGTTGCTGTCCAGTAACACCTCTAGTGGCTGTCACTCAAATGGCCACTAAAGTGTCTCCTATCTTAGTCCACAATGAGCAGCACCTACAGTCAGCGTTTCCACGCTCTGCATGGAGGTGCTGAACGTTACCCATAGAGATGCTTTTAATTAATTTAATAATCTGAGTTACGAAGGTGGGCCAGCTACAGCGAGACCGGTACGGCGCTGGGTAAAAGATGTGTAAAAACATAATTCCCATTGCGATCGGAGGGGGCTGGTGACCTAAACATACACATCCACTGACAGACACCCGGACTGACACACACACTGACAGAGACAGGCACTGAGAGACACACACGGAGAGAGACACACACACTGACAGAGACAGGCACTGAGAGACACACGGAGAGAGACACACACACTGACAGAGACATGGAGAGAGACACACTGACAGACACACACTGCCAGAAACATGGAGAGAGACATGGAGACAGACACACACACACTGACAGAGACATGGAGACAGACACACACACACACTGACAGAGACATGGAGAGAGACACACTGACAGACACACACTGCCAGAAACATGGAGAGAGACACACTGACAGACACACACAAACTGACAGAGACATGGAGACAGACACACACACACTGACAGAGACATGGAGACAGACACACACACACGCTGACAGAGGCATGGAGACAGACACACACGCTGACAGAGACATGGAAACAGACACACACACAAAGTATTATTATTGATACACTCAAATATATACATACACAAACATTCATACATACACACAGATAAATACCCATACAGACATACACACATGACAGATATACAGAAATTAGAGAAGAAAAATACATATTTTTAGCAACCCTCCTACCTTTTCAGCTCAGGAGGGTGACTCCCTTGGGCTCCAG